AATGTCCAGGAGCAGTCTAGGACAACCAGCAGAAGCACACCCAGTGCTGGGCTTGGATTTGCAGTGGGCAGCATTGATCTCGGGGCTGGAGGCCTCTCCATTCCAAACACACCACAGTTAATCTCCCCAGGGCATCCCAAAAGCCACCACTCATACTGAGAGAGAGAGGAAGAGATGGTCACATGACCTCCTTGGGCTCGGCGTTTGATAGATCACTGAGACGAAGTGACAGTCTGGAACAGTCAGGATTGCGTCTGCAGTTCCACAAATAAAGCACCCAGTTTGCAGAATTCAGCTCTCTGAGAACTGCCTTTTTCATTATTTAATGAATAAAGTCTTTAGTCCTTATTGCTGTGTCCCTGCTGCTGGCATCTCATACCCCACCCATCTGGCTGAGTTTCCCCAGCCACTCTGGGCGGCTCCCAATCAAGTGTTAAAACAGTACAGCGTTAAATATTAAAAACTTCCCTGAACAGGGCTGCGTTCAGATGTCTTTTAAAGATAGGATAGCTGCTTATTTCCTTCACATCTGAAGGGAGGGTGTTCCACAGGGCAGGCACCACCACCGAGAAGGCCCTCTGCCTGGTTCCCTGTAGCTTCACTTCTTGCAGGGAGGGAACCGCCAGAAGGCCCTCGGCGCTGGACCTCAGTGTCCGGGCAGAATGATGGAGGTGGAGACGCTCCTTCAGGTATACTGGACCGAGGCCGTTTAGGGCTTTAAAGGTCAGCACCAACACTTTGAATTGTGCTCGAAAACGTACTAGCTAAGGCTAGGGACACGTGAGGTAGTGAAGCGAGTGCGCTCCTCTTCTCCGCTGAATAACCGCAGCCGATCTCCATTGACTGGAGTTAACGGGAGAAGGGCTAGGAGGACAAAGTCCTCTTATCAGTTAAATTTGGTGTCCAAAAGGTTCCAGCGTGGAGAGATCGCTGTACCATGAACCCTGGCAGCAGAGATACAGCTTTCTGACCCTTGAAGAACATCCCTTCTGCCACCCACTGCCTTTATGGTCAGGGAGGGGTTCTCGGCCGGCCTCCACTAACCAGCGGTGATACGGGTAACAGATACGGCTATTTCCTTGCAGGAAAGGACGTCAGGATTACTGGCCTTTGGCAAAGCTCTTGCTAAGAAGCGAAGGACGGGCCGGAGGAGGCATACGTAATAGGATGATGAACGAGCCCATTCGTTCGCATCGAATCTAGGGCAGAATGAATTGGCTGGTTAATTCCACCGCTCGCTAAGGCTCTTCGCCCTCCTTCCCCTCCCTCAGCTATTCGTGACCAATCAGATAGCTGCCCCCTTAATCTTCTACGCTGACCGAGTTCCGCGCTAACGAAGCCTCCCTGATTGGCTACGCAGGGGAGCTGACGGCCATGTAACCGGGCAGATCCTTTCCTGGGTGTTGGGTGGGAGAGGACTGGCCTGCCCAGAAGTCAAAACGCAAAAAAACATCCAAGCACGAGCCGGGGATGCGGAGTGTTTGCGCTCCGTGCGATTGCAAAGAGTCTGCTAGTGCTGCCCGCCCACCGGCGAAGGAAAAGCGATCGGCCAGTTATGTAAGAACACTACATGGCACAGTGTTCCCCAAGGCTCCCCAGCTCCCAACCTAGCTTAGCCAGAGGCACCGAACTCTTAATGCCACCCAAAATTAGAGCAATGGTAAAAAGGTAAAGGGGACCCCTGCCCATTAGGTCCAGTTGTGGCTGACTCTGGGGTTGTGGCGCTCATCTCGCTTTACTGGCCGAGGGAGCCGGCGTACAGCTTCCGGGTCATGTGGCCAGCAGGACTAAGCCGCTTCTGGAGAACCAGAGCAGCGCACGGAAATGCCGTTTACCTTCCCGCCAGAGCGGTACCTATTTATCTACTTGCGCTTTGAGGTGCTTTCGAACTGCTAGGTTGGCAGGAGTAGGGACCGAGCAACGGGAGCTCACCCCGTCGTGGGGATTCGAACCGCCGACCTTCTGATCAGCAAGTCCTAGGCTCTGTGGTTTAACCCACAGCGCCACCCGCGTCCCATAAGAGCAATGGTAGGAGAGAAGAAATGGCATGGGGATGGAAGTGGTGCAGGGCTGAAAGCCAACAATGCAACCCCCTTTATCATGAATGTCAAGAGCTGGGTATGTGAAGGATTTGGAAGAAAAAGAAAGACTTGGGTCACCTGGCTTGTTCGAACGTTGGTCAAATAATGGTCAAATATTTTTCAAGCATTCACTTTATTACAACAACAACAGCAACAACAAAAAAGGAGAGGGTACTTTCATCATCTACAGATTTTGATGGTCACACTAATTACAAGAAAAAAGAACCCCAAAGCCGTTAACCGTTACTGCGAAACAATGCAATTGATGTTTTGGAAGCTGGAAGATATTTCCAGGCCGATGTAAGGCAGACCCACGTGGGAAAGGGGGGAGCAGCCTGCATTCCCTGCAGCAAGCAAAATGGGAGTCAGGGGGTGGCCGTTTGCGTCTGAAGATGGCTGGCACCCTGTCAGGAGCCACTGGCCGTGATTAGAAAGAGAAGCTTTCATATGAATCTGCTCCTGACTGCTGCAAGGATGTGGGGCGGAGGCCCTATACCTGCCATTGCAAAGATATGGGCATCATCACAAAACTTGGGGGGGGGAGAGCCCTTGAGCTGCCACCAATAAGTTGGCATTCTCAGAATATTTGACAGTATTTGACCAAGGTCAAATCACAGGCCTTCTTCAAGCTGGCAATATCTGACCAGCCCGCCAACCCTCTTGGAAAAGAGACCATTTCATTTCTGAACGGGTGAGCGAGGCAGAAGGGCTCGGAGGGGGATTGGGACCGGCAGCTCTGCCCAACCCATCTCAATCCTTAGCTTAAAAGGGATGCCAAGGTCCTTTCCATGCCGTTTCCTGCGGGCCAGATGATGTAGGAGTGTGCCATGGGGACGCCCCAAGTGAGGCTCACGGGGTCAGCAGGGGCTTCGCTCCCCACTTCCTCTGGGGCAACAGGAGCTGCAAGATGTAAGGCAGTGGGGATTTAGGCACTACAATAACTTAATAATGCCTGCGTTGCAGGGGGGTTGGACTAGATGACCCTCGGGGTCCCTTCCAACTCTACAGTGATTCTGAGCGCAGACCAAGGTCAGAGCAGCTTCTGGTATAAGTGGGTCCGAGAGAACAAGCAACCACCAGCCCTCTAGCCGTAAGGAGAGCCCGCTGGATGAGGCCAATGGCCCATACACTGTGCATCCTGTTCTTGCAATAGCCAAACAGATGCCTGCTAGCAGGATTTAAGCGCAAGAGGAACTCTTCCCTCTGGTGCTTTTCAGCAGCTGGAATGCAGAACTATTGCTGCCGCAGCTTGGAGCCGACGACAGCCCACTGCACTGAATCGCAACTTGCTGCAGGGTAAAATTCGAAGTGCTGGTTATTAGCAGCCCCAGCTCCCGCGGATAAATGGCTCTCAATGGCTGCAAAATCCTAAGAAGCGCCTCTTTGCATAGGAACCCATTAGATGGGCTTGGAACACCTGCACCCCTGGGCAGAAAGCAGAACAGTCTTGCTAGAACGCTCTGTGGTTCTGCAGGCCTGCCAGAGTCCCACTTTGCAAAGACCCAGTTGCCAAGAAAGTCTTCTTCGGGGCAGGGCTGGAGCAGCCAAACAGCCTCAGAACTGTTTGCCCTGCTGAAGGAAGGAGGAAGGTTTTGGAACGCTTTGCTGAACGCGTTGCAAGTGACTTGTTTACCAGCTGCAAGGTGCCTGGGCTCTCAGGAGCAGAAAAGCAGCAATTAAGCAAGCAGAGAGACCGCCTACATTTCTAGGCTTGGTTACCGGCTCTGAGGCCGGAGCGGGAAACCCAACGGAGTAAACAGCATGAAGGATGCTCAGGTCTACGCCACACAGGGAACCGTACGAAACCGCTTTACACTGAGGCAGGCATGCTCTCTCTTCCTAGGCCATATCTTGCTAGCCCTGCTATGCACACTTCCTAGAGGGTTTTTGCCTGGCTGGGCTGTGCCCCTGAAGTCTGATAATACCTCATAATAATAATAATAAGAATATAGTCATACCTCGGGTTGAATGCGCTTCGGGATGAGCGCGTTCGAGTTGCGCTCCGCGGCAACCCGGAAGTAACGGAGCACGTTACGTCCGGGTTTCACCACTTGCGCATGCGCAGACGCTCAAAATGACGTCACACGCATGCGCAGAAGCGGTGAAAAGCGACGCGTGCGTGCGCAGACGTGCCGTCGCTAGTTGCGTTTGCTTCTAGATGAGAACGGGGCTCCGGAACGGATCCTGTTCGCATCTAGAGGTACCATTGTAATAATAATAATAATAATAATAATAATAATAATAATAATAATAATAAATTTATACACTGCCCATCTGACTGGTTGCCCCAGCCACTCTGGGCAGCTACCAACACATATAAAAACATAATAAAACATCAAACTTTATACACTTCCCTATACGGAGCTGCCTTCAGATGTCTTCTAAAAGTCACATAGTTGTTTATTTCCTTGACATCTGATGGGAGGGTATTCCGCAGGGTGGGCGCCACCACCGAAAAGGCCCTCTGCCTGGTTGCCTGTAACTTCACTTCTCGCAGGGAGGGAACCCCTAGGAGGCCCTCGGAGCTGGACCTCAGTGCAGAGACCTTGTGCAGAGGTCTTTCCTGTCACCTGTTAACCTGACCTTTTCCCCAGTGAAGCTGTGGAACTGAATCTGGGACCTCTGCATGCAAAGACCTGAGTTGCGTGGCTCCACCCATGTCACCCAGGGAAAAGAAGCAGAGGGGCCTATAAATTGCAGAAGCTAAGTTCTGCGAACTTTCCTGCATTCTGAGAGCCCAACAACTCAGGAAGCTACTCCTTTTTGAGGCGAGTAAACGACAAAGTGGGTAGATTTTACTGTTCCGGCTGGGAACCGCCTTCTTTGGGCCCAGTGAGACTTTGAAACCCCATCCATCAGTCCGAGCGAGTTCACAAAGGGATCAGGAAGAAACACAATTGCATATCTGCATCGGCCTACCGTTCGCATCTTGAACCCCGGTGAGCGCGCCGACGGCTGCTGCAGTTTCACCGGACAAAACAATCTGGCCCCCGCCTTGGAGGGTGGCTTCTGCAAGCGTGGCGACGGCGTGGGCGGCTGCTTCGCTGCAAGGCAAGGAGAGGAGAGGTTACCAAAAGGACAGAGAGAGAGCAAGCAACGAAACGTGCTTGGCATGGACAGGAGTCCCAAATTTAACCTCTAGCCCTGGGAAGTTTAAAAAAAAAAAGTGTTCCTGGTTCAAGGTAACAGGCGTGGCAAAGTTGGAGAGATGATGGGGAACATGTCTCTGTTCACAAAAGCCCTGCAGAAGGCAGGAGCCACCAGAATATCCCCACCAAAGCATCTTCTTTCTTTGCTTATTTCATAAAATCTATACAGTGGTGCCTCGCAAGACGAAATTAATCCGTTCTGCGAGTCTCTTCGTCTTGCGGTTTTTTCGTCTTGCGAAGCACGGCTATTAGCGGCTTAGCGGCTATTAACGGCTAGCGGCTATTAACGGCTTAGCGGCTTTAAGAAAAAGGAAACAAACTCGCAAGAACTCGCAAGACGTTTCGTCTTGCGAAGCAAGCCCATAGGGAAATTTGTCTTGCGGAACGACTCAAAAAATGGAAAACCCTTTCGTCTAGCGAGTTTTTCGTCTTGCAAGGCATTAGTCTTGCGGGGCACCACTGTACACTGCTAGGTTGTAAAAAAAATAAAATCCCTCAAAGCAATTTAAGAAGAGAATAAAACAATACAACCATCAGTTTAAAAAAAATGTGTAAAAGCAACTGTGCAAATCATTCAAAACATAAAATCGACAGTAAGCTAAAAGCAGATCACAACATACATCCATACTCAATGCAGTGGTAACTCCGGTTGCAGACGGGATCCATTCCAGAGCTCCAGACGGATCCCACGGTTTCTGCCATCGGAGATGCTGATTCTTTGCATGTGCACGGCGCGATACAGCGCTTCTGCGCATGTGGCGAAACCCGGAAGTATACTTCCGGGTTTGCCGCTTTCACAACCTGAAGTTTACGTTACCCAAGGGTAACATAAGCCAAGGTAGGACTATATGTCTGGATAAAGGTAAAGGTAAAGGGACCCCTGACCATTAGGTCCAGTCGTGGCCGACTCTGGGGTTGCAGCGCTCATCTCGCTTTACTGGCCGAGGGAGCCGGCGTACAGCTTCCGGGTCATGTGGCCAGCAGGACTAAGCCACTTCTGGAGAACCAGAGCAGCGCACAGAAACGCCATTTACCTTCCCGCCAGAGCGCTACCAATTATCCACTTGCACTTTGACGTGCTTTCAAACTGCTAGGTTGGCAGGAGCAGGGACCGAGCAACGAGAGCTCACCCCGTCGCGGGGATTCGAACCTCCGACCTTCTGATAGGCAAGTCCTAGGTTCTGTGGTTTAACCCACAGCGCCACCCGCGTCCCCTGTATGTCTGGGTAGGCTGGTCTAAACTAAAATGTTTTTAGCGGACACAGAAAAGAGCAGAGTGAAGATGCCTGCCTGATATCAATAGGCAGGGAGTTCCACAGTGCAAGCGCTGCCACACAGAGAGATTGATCGCTTGCAAATGGGGAACGGGTATTATGTGTACTCTTCTTTGAGGAGTGGGCTGCTCTTGGTCCCACCGCCTTCACAGGCACACATGGTGGGGACACAGAAGCGGGGCTTTTCAGTGGCTGCTCCCAGACTTTGGGACTCCCTCCCTGGAGAAGCCAGATTGGCTCCCTCCCTGTTGTCCTTCTGCCAGCAGGGCAAGCCCTTCTCCTTCCAACAGGCTTTGGGGGTGGAATCAACAAAAACCAAGCAAACGTTAACAGAATTATATGCAGACATATACAATTCTATTAATATTTTCTTGTTTTTTAATGTTTTGCCCTCATGTTTATAGCAGTTCATATTTTATTTGTAAGCCGCCTTGAGTCCCTGTCAGGGGGGAAAGGCAGGGTATAAGTAAATATAACACAGTCGGACCTTGGAAGCCGAACGGAATTTGTTCTGGAAGTCCGTTCGGCTTCCAAAATGTTCGGAAACCAAAGCGCAGCTTCCCACTGGCTGCAGGAAGCTCCTGCAATGGAAGCCCCGTCGGACGTACGGCTTCCAAAAATAGTTCGCAAACCGGAACAGTCCTTTCCGGGTTTGCGCTGTTTGGGAGCCAAAACGTTCGAGAACTAAGCTGTTCGAAAACCAAGGTATGACTGTAATAAAAACTTTATTATTTGTACCCTGCCCATCTTACCGGGTTGCCCCAGCCACTCTGGGTGTAGTATATAATACTACTACAGTGGTACCTCGGGTTAAGTACTTAATTCGTTCTTAACCTGAAACTGTTCTTAACCTGAAGCACCATTTTAGCCAATGGGGCCTCCTGCTGCCGCCGCGCCGCCAGAGCGCGATTTCTGTTCTCATCCTGAAGCAAAGTTCTTAACCTGAAGCACTATTTCTGGGTTAGCAGAGTCTGTAAGCTGAAGTGTATGTAAACTGAAGCGTATGTAACCCGAAGCGTATGTAACCCGAGGTACCACTGTATGACTATTGGGCTGCAACAGGAAAGAACAATGCCTTTTCTCTCTGGTTTCCATATCTGTCGGCTGCAATCCTGTTCGCTCCCGGCCCAGCCATCGCCTCACTCCCGCACAAGGACTGCTCGAGTCAGCTCAGGCGCTTGGAGGCTTGTTAACAAACCCTCGGGGGACGCTATTAGATCCGCTGCCATCAGAACCATTTCCCCACAGCAAAGCAGTCTTTCCTGCCGATACCCCAAGCCAGTCCTCCTGCGCATCTGAGGCTTAGAAGCCGAGCTGGTGTGTGTGTGTGTGTCGGCAAGGGAATCGGCTTCGAAAGCAACAGAGGCCTGATATCGAATGTTGTTGCGGAGTCGGTGGAGAGGCAGGGCACCCCACGGCCCATCACCACAGGTGACAACATTCAGACTGTGTGTGTCTGCTGGTCAGAGGTCAGGGAGCACACCTGTTGCGCCCTCCTTGGCGGCAGGGTGCTGTGAGAAGGATGCAGCAGCCCACGGTGGGCCTTGATGTGCCCCCCAAAAGACTGAGCCCGGGACAACGACCCCCTCAGCTCCTCATGCTATGCTCCTGTCGTAGCTAGTAGCCACCTGGCTACTGTCAAGGGCATTTTGCCTCTGGTGTTGTGCTAACAAAACGAGCACTTAATAAATAAGCAAATAAATGGGAAATTCGTAACCAAATCCCTTTAAAAGCGAAGACGCAGGTATTTGGCTACCCCACCATGCTTAAGTTTTCTCAAGCAAGCGCGAGAGCCTGTCGCCCCATCACCTTGGGGGCCTATTAACAAAGAGGAGGGAAATATAAACGGTGCAATGCTTTGATGGTATTTTATTGCTGTTTTCGGCTGGGGTGTTTTCTGTCATCAGCAGCCCTGCCTTCCCAGCGGGAAACAAGCAAACGAACACTGCGCCCTGCTTCAGAACTGCAGAGCTCTCTTAGAAGAGGGCGTCTTAAAGGCAGACTTGCCGAGTCTTGTGAATCCCAAAACAGCTCTAGGTAAATGTAAAGGGACCCCTGAGCATTAGGTCCAGTCGTGGCCGACTCTGGGGTTGCGGTGCTCATCTCGCTTTATTGGCCGAGGGAGCTACCTAACCTAAGTACAGCTTCTGGGTCATGTGGCCAGCAGGACTAAGCCGCTTCTGGCGAACCAGAGCAGCGCACGGAAACGCCGTTTACCTTACTTTTAGAGAGAGGTTAGGTAGCAAGGAGCCATTAAAAGGTAAAGGTACCCCTGCCCGTACGGGCCAGTCGTGACCAACTCTGGGGTTGCACGCCCATCTCGCTTAAGAGGCCATGAGCTGGCGCCGTCCGGAGACACTTCCGGGTCACGTGGCCAGCGTGATGAAGCTGCTCTGGCGAGCCAGCACAAGCGCAGCACACAGAAACGTTGTTTACCTTCCCGCTATAAAGCGGTCCCTATTTATCTACTTACACTTAAGAGTGCTTTCGAACTGCTAGGTGGGCAGGAGCTGGGACCGAAAGACGGGAGCTCACCCCGCCGCGGGGATTCGAGCCGCCGACCATGCGATCGGCAAGTCCTAGGCGCTGAGGTTTTACCCACAGCGCCACCCGCGCCCCAGCAAGGAGCCATTGGCCTTCACCAAACCAGCACAGCACCCAAACATCAATGAAGACCCCACGTGCCCAGTTTGGCGACAGCATCTCAATACCTGTTGAGGGCCATGGTGACTGTTGCCCCTTGCTGCATCTCTTGCGATGCCGCCACCGCCGCTTCTGCCAGGGATGCCACTGCCTGCGTGGCTTCTGAGGCCTGGGTGGTTTGGATCGTCATCTCTCCTCCCTGTAGCGTTGCCCAGTTCTGCTCCACCTGGTGGGACGGAGAAGACGAGAGAGGCATGATGGAACTCGGGCCGTCTCAGAAGGGATCCAGGGACTGTTCCTGCTTGGGTGCATTTCTCTCTCTCTTTCAATAAATTTATTTATTTGGTTTTAATAATAATAATAATAATAATAATAATAATAATAATAATAATTTTTTATTTATACCCCGCCCTTCCCGGTTGAGAAAAATTTTTCCCCTCCAAAAATTGAGGGGAAATGTGTGTGCCTCCTATGGAGCAAATGCAGGCTTGTGCCATACCCACGCGCAACCCCTCCGGCAGGGAGAGATTGCGCGGGGCTAAAGAGGAAGCCAAAGCAGCCAGCGGGATCCATCCTGCTGGCTGCCTTGGCTTGTTCCATAGCCGCGCGCAACCCCTCCGGCAGGGAAAGATTGCGCAGGGCTATGGCTTCTTCGCAACCAGAGGTATCTTGGTTTTCGAACGGCTTAGTTATTGAACAAATTGGCTCCCAAACGCCGCAAACCTGGAAGTGTCCCAGTTTGCGATCGTTTTTTGGAAGCCGGACATCCGACTCAGCTTCTGATGAGAGCAGGAAGTTCCTGCAGCCAATCGGAAGCTGCGCCTTGGTTTTCGAACGGTTTCGGGAGTCAAACAGACTCCCGGAATGGATTAAGTTCGAGAACCAAGGTACCGCTGTATTTGTATTGTATTTACGTTGTAAATGTATTTCACAATGAATAAATGGTGCTGGGGAAAGGAGGTGGCAGCTAGCGGTTGGTTGGTTATTCTATTTAGCCGACGTGGCAAGGAACAGGCTGTGGCCAGACTCAATTGCAGGAGGCAGTGACTTCGTATCTTCACATGCTTGGAACAGGAAGCAAATACATTAGGCAAGGTGGAAGGTGCCCGCTTTCACGGAGACAATGAGGGGCTTGTCTCCTGAAACCCCCTTTGATGCATAGGGTGGAATTTTCAGGGACAGAAATCTCCAAAAACAAAACAACCAGTTTCTAGCCGGCCTTTCAAATGCAAATGTCGGCGTCTCTGGGAACAAGAGCTGTTTTTGTGCTGCCACCTATTGCCCTGAGACTCCTATCCCTTTCCAGAGAACGCGGGGCTTCGCCACTCCGTCCTGACACAAAGGCCTGGAGACTCAGGTCCAATAGAAAGAGAACAGGCCTCCTCTCCCTCTCTCCAAAAAGTCTGTTCTTCCCAGCTCCCCACACCCAAGTGTTCAAGAAAGTTAGTATTCGCTTCCCCAGCCTGGGCTTTCCAGTCCCCGAGTCGCTCGCTTTGCCTCTGCCAGAACACCTATGTCATGGGTAGGCAAACTAAGGCCCGGGGGCCGGATCCGGCCCAATCGCCTTCTAAATCCGGCCCGCAGACAGTCCAGGAATCAGCACGTTTTTACATTAGAATATTTCCTTTTATTTAAAATGCATCTCTGGGTTATTTGTGGGGCATAGGAATTCATTCATTATTATTTTTTTCAAAATATAGTCTGGCCCCCCCACAAGGTCTGAGGGACAGTGGACCGGCCCCCTGCTGAGAAAGTTTGCTGACCCCGGACCTATGTGATGCTACCTTTGTGAAGCCTCTGTTTAACCCTCCTGATTCTGCCCCAGCTGAAATGAAGCTGAAGCATATCCACTGTGCAAATGGGCTTGGAGGCAGGGAGCCATATTTCTGCATATCTATTATTCCTTGCCGTCAGGGTAGAGTACCCTGTGCAAGGATGGCATTGAGAAAACAATCAATAACCACTGCAACAAAGTCAACTGATTAACACCAAGAGAGCTAGCAGAAAACGAGACCTTAGATGGTATTTTTTATTTTAAACACTTTGCTAGCTGATGTGGAAATGGATATTGCTGATGGATCCACCTGGCTAGTTCTTCATGAAATACGTAAAGCAAATTTTTGACCTATACCGGTCACTATGTGCAAAAATCGGAACCCAGAGGAAAAAGGGCTCTACTGAATCATTCGTTCTCATATTATTATTCCACCACCATTCATCCTTAGATCTCATCAGGGCAGTTCAAAACATAAAAATACAAGACAAAAAACACAAAATACGTAATAAAAACAAAAACAAACCATTAACCCCACCTTCTCCCTAACCCCCATGCCAGCAAAAAGCACAGCTATTTGTGGGTCAGCATCCAGATGGACATAATGTAAAAATAACGGTTTTATAAAATGTGCCAATCACTTTTCTACTTTAAAAAAAAAGCTCTAATGGCAGCCATTTTGCACACAGCAAAATGACCTTGAACTTCAGAAAGTCAGATTCAATCAGCCCTGCTCACTCAGTCCAGCAACCTCCACATTTGGCTCACAGGTGGCTTTCGCTAGGCTGGCCCGCCTGCCCAACACCTGACATCCAAACCTGCAGGGGGCGCCAATCAGCAGTGCCTACGAAGCCCTGTGCCTTTGCAAGAGCTGGACCACCAACTGATAATCAGCCCTTGCCCGACAGCAGACCTTCATCAGCTGAGAGGGGCCAGCCCCTTTGAAGTCATCACTCATCAATACAGTGGTACCTCGGGTTAAGTACTTACCATATTTTTCGCTCTACAAGACGCACCAGACCATAAGACACGCCTACTTTTTGGAGGAGGAAAACAAGAAAAAATAATATTCTGAATCTCAGAAACCATAACAGCAAGAGGGATTGCTGTGCAGCGACCCCTCTTGCTATTCTGGCTTCTGGGATAGCTGCGCAGCCTGCATTCGCTCCATAAGACGCACACGTTTCCCTACTTTTTGGGAGGGAAAAAGTGAGTCTTATAGAGCAAAAAATACGGTAATTCGTTCCGGAGATCCGTTCTTAACCTGAAACTGTTCTTAACCTGAAGCACCACTTTAGCTAATGGGGCCTCCTGCTGCCGCCGCGCGATTTCTGTTCTCATCCTGAAGCAAAGTTCTTAACCTGAAGCACTATTTCTGGGTTAGCAGAGTGTGTAACCTGAAGCGTATGTAACCTGAAGCGTATGTAACCCGAGGTACCACTGTATCCTAATGACGCCAAGGGACTGACAGTTGGGCAGCTCCACCCACCTGTCAAAGCTGGTGCATGGGAGGTCAGGATTCTGCCCAGCGCCTGATCTGGTCTCCCTGAGGGAGGCAAAGCAGCCTAGCTGCCGTGCGGGTTCAGGACCTTTATTATGATCTGCCACGGGAGCTTGCGGAAACACTTTCCAAGTGAATTTCCAGGACGTGATCTACCATGACATTCCCCGTCACTGGGCACAGGCCTTGCCAGGCAACATCGCCACTCACCTCTCCGTCGGTTACTGCAGAGTAGTTGACTTGTGCGACAGTAACGGTGGTGGGCAATTCGGAGGCATCTGCCAAGGTCGCTACCGTAGCTCCTGTGCCAACCTGCAACACACAATGGTAGTCAGCGAGATGCCACCAAAGGTTGCCTTTCGAGTCAGCCTGCTTCTTAGGCTATGATCATACGCATCTCACGGTCCAAGTTAAAGAAACACAATACGTATCTCCCTGCTCATTCAGATTTCTAGCTTGGTCCCAAGCCCTGCAGCCGAGCTGTGGGTTTCAAAATTTATTTATATGGGGAAAAATAAAATATCTTGGCACATTCTTTTCCATTCTGAAGGAAATCAGCCCTGAGTGCTCACTGGCAGGACAGATCCTGAAGCTGAGGCTCCAAGACTTTGGCCACCTCATGAGAAGAGAAGACTCCCTGGAGAAGACCCTGATGTTGGGAAAGATGGAGGGCACAAGGAGAAGGGGACGGCAGAGGACGAGATGGTGGGACAGTGTTCTCGAAGCTACCAGCATGAGTTTGACCAAACTGCGGGAGGCAGTGGAAGACAGGAGGGCCTGGCATGCTCTGGTCCAGGGGGTCACGAAGAGTCAGACACGACTAAACAACAACAATATCAGCACAAAGGCCAATGATCTCTACACAATAGCTACAAGGCCTAGAGCCCAGAGACAGGTCAGTTGTGAGTAAATCAAGAAACCAATTAAACAAAGCAGGGGTGACAATTTTCTGGATTCAGGTTGGCTGCACATCACACCAAGCTAAACTATGACATAGCACAAACACACAAGTGCACTAGCTCCTGAGGAAGAGACTGCAGCCCCTTTGTTCCTCCAAAAATGAATAATTTCCGTCTCTTTGCACGCCAACCAACTATTTTGGAGAATGATTCCTATTATTCAGGGCCAGAACTCATCAGGCCTAGAGCTATTTGCCAGAGTTTGACCCTGGGGTGACATGACACAGAATATTGTTTGCACAGTACTAAGGAACTGTAAGAGAGCTAACAACAACATTTATAGCCCACTCATCTGGCTGGGTTTCCCCAGCCACTTTGGGCGGCTTCCAATAAAATATTAAAATACAATAGTCCATCAAACATTAAAAGCTCCCCTAAACAGGGCTGCCTTCAGATGTCTTCTAAAAGTCTGGTAGTAGTTTTTCTATTTGACATCTGGTGGGCGTTCCACAGGGAGGGTGCCACCACCGAGAAGGCCCTGTGCCTGGTTCCCTGTAACTTCACTTCTCGCAATGAGAGAACCGCCAGAAGGCCCTTGGAACTGGACCTCAGTGTCCAGGCTGAGTGATGGGGGTGGAGATGCTCCTTCAGGTATACTGGGCTGAGGCCGTTTAGGACTTTAAAGGTCAGCACCAACACTTTGAATTGTGCTCAGAAACATACTGGGATGTGTGGTGTATTGGTTAGAATTGGACTAGGACCTAAGGTAAAAGGTAAAGGACCCCTGGATAGTTAAGTACAGTCAACAGTGACTCTGGGGTTGCGGCGCTCATCTCACTTTCAGGCCGAGGGAGCCATCGTTTGTCCACAGACAGCTTTCCGGGTCGTGTGGCCAGCAGGACTAAACCGCTTCTGGCACAATGGAACACCGTGACAGAAACCAGGGCACACAGAAATGCTGTTTACCTTCTCGCCACAGCACTACTTGCACTGGTGTGTTTTCGAACTGCAGGAGCTGGGACAGAGACCAGGACCTAAAAGACCAAGGTCCAAACCCCCACGCAGAATTGGCTCCTGTGCATCTGGGGCAGGTGTTTGGGGCCAGAATGCAAAGCTTCCAGGCCAAACTGAAGCCTGGGACCCTCTTTGTGCTGCTGCAATCCTCACCTGGATGAGAGAGACTGTGCCGTCGGGATTGCTGAAGGTCTGGACCACGGTTTGGGACGGGACCAGGTGTGCTATACTGTGTGTTGCTGTCGCAGGCTGTGTTTGCTGATCCTCAAAAGCATAGAGCAGGTCCTCGCGTCCGTGCTGCTTGTAGCAGTTCTTCACAATGGTCCTCAGCGCCTGAGTCCAAGACACCTGCCGGATTCAAAGAGGGAGAGAAGAGGCATATTCAGGGATACCATATCCCATTAAAAAACAAAAGCAAAACAGAAGCAAAACAAACAATGAAGTAACCAAGCTCTGAAATATCCCTTAAATTGAGTGATGGGATCTCTGGTAAACTTTACTCCATAAAGAGCTTTCAAAGCAGAAATGTACTTCTACTGGGGGCAAGATTAAGAACACAAGACGGGCCGGCAGGATCAGGCCAGAGGCCTATCTAGCCCAGCGCCCTGTTCGCACTGCAGCCAACCAGGTGCCCCCACAGAAAAGCCTGCAAGCAGAACCTCAGCTCAGCAGCATCTGCCCCACCTGCGACCCCCAGCAAATGGTACTCAAAGGCATTGTCTCACGAAAAACCACTAGCGATGGGTCCCCAAATCACTGCAACTCCACTAGCTAACCTACGGTGTGGAAAGGGTGGCTCTAGCCCACATTAGCAATTGTGAAAATTGCTGAGTTTTAACTGCATTAACTCAACCAGGACAAACGAATGGCTTTCTCCATTCTGGGATTAGAGTGGACAGACAGGCGCGCTCAGAAGGCCTTTTTCCTTCTTGTGCAGAACAGCCAACAGACTGGAGGCAACTGGGACCACCGAACAGCCACAGACTGGAGGCAGCTGGGACCACCCTGCTTTGCTCTGGATGTGCCGGTCTGGGGTGGGGGATGCCTGGCCTGGGAGCCAAATACGCCCCACTCTGTGGTCCTCGTGACTCTCCCCAGGCCACGCCCCTTTCCCCAGCTACATCCCCTGCCAGCCCTCCCTCAAATTTTAGTTTTTTTACCTGGCTGTGATGTGTCCTCGAGCTCTCGCAATGCTCCTTGCTTCCCTGGATGGAGGACAGAAAGGGGTGTCCGAGTGCATGTGTTGAAACTAGCCTCCTTTACAAGGTAACAATTTACATCAATTGCTCCGCCCACAGCTGACTCTGGCCCCACCCACCACTGGCTTGTGGCCCACGATGGAAAGTTGCCCAGAAGGGAGAGCTTGGGGCTCGGGTAGCCCAAGGGCTTTCTGCTCCCACATGACCTTGCTAAGAAATCAAGTAGGGACAGGGCCTTTTCCGGTTGTGGCCCCCAATAGTTGAAATGCTCTCCCAAGGGCAATTCACATGGTTCAATAAGTTCGTAGGTGCTGGACAAAGAATTTACCGTATTTTTCGCTCTATAGGATGCACTTTTTCCCCTCCAAAAATTAAGGGGAAATGTGTGTGCGTCCTATAGAGCAAGTGCAGGCTGCGCGGCTAAGCCCAAAGCCAGAACAGGGAGACAGAGCGCTGCACAGTGCTCCGTCTCGCTGTTAAAGCTTGGGGTTAGCTGCGCAAAGCCTCCGCAGGACAGCGGGGTGCTTTCACCCCGCTGCCCTGCAGAGGCTACAAATGCTGTATGAAGGTGGGGGGAAGGCTGCAACGCTTTCCCCCACCGCCAGCCCCACAAGCTCGGGGGGCAGCGGGAAGGCGGTGAGCTGCCTCTGCGCTGCTCCCCGACCTGGTTTGGAGGCTGGCGGTGGGAGGAAACAGAGCTTCCCCCCACCGCCAGCCCCACAAACTCAGGGGGCAGCAGGAAGGCGGCGTGCCGCCTCTGCACTGCTCCCCGACCTGGTTTGGAGGCTGGCGGTGGGGGAAAGCAGCGCTTCCCCCCACCGCCAGCCCCACAAGATTGGGGAGGCAGCGGGAAGGCGGTGTGTCACCTCTGCACTGCTCCCCAACCTGGCCTTTGGGGCTGGCGGTGGGGGAAAGAGGCGCTCCCCCCCCCCGCCAGCCCCAAAGAGCAGGTCGAAAGGAACCCAAAGCCTGGGCTCCGGAGGCTTCGGGTGAACACACCTTGAACGCACAGAACGCACCTTGTTTTAGAGGAGGAGAACAAGTAAAAAATATATATTTTTTCCCATTCTCCCCCTCCTATGGTCCGGTGCGTCCTATGGTCCGGTGCATCCTATAGAGCGAAAAATACGGTATTTGCTTTCTTATTATTATTATTATTAATCACATGTTAATTTTATCCGCTGCGTTGCAGTTTGCTTTTAAGTGCATTCTGAAATTGTCTTAAGATTATTATTGTTGCTTCCCATTGGATTGTGAGCTGTCTTGAACAGTTTGCTGAATTATAAAGGCACGATAAGACTTCTGTAAAGCAGAGAAACGTTCTGCGCTTTCCCACGGAGCGTAATCCGTGGCTGCTTTTATTTATTTCAGTTTTGCATCTCCAGAAGCAGGCTGGGATTCAGCTTCCAGATCTGAAAGGCTGGCTTAAGTAAGTGGGGAATACCAAGGCTTTTGCTGGAGGCTAAGGGAGAAACGTGCGGGATTCAATGCACAGCGATGTGCTCTGATGGCTGCTGGTGTAACAGCTGCTAAAAAAACAGAGAGGTAAATTCCTGGAGGACAGGTCATTAACGGCTGGAAGCCAAGATGGCCAGGAATGTAACCAATTGTGTCCATAGTTCATATGCCTCTTGGGAACCAGATGCTGGCGACTGAGATCCAGGGAGGGCCTCTTCCCATAAATGCCACGCTTGCAAATTCCTGGGGTGCCTGGCTGAACCCACTGGGAACAGAGAGCTGAGCACCTCTGGCTGGAGCTGAGATGGCCACCCTCTTGTGTTCTTACCTGATCTATAGGCTATTTTGGTCCCAAAGCACTTCACAGACTTCCCCAACAGAGATCTATAAGCTAAGCCTTTCCACTTGTCATACCAAGTCAGAGCCCTTTGCTGAAGCAAGAGGACTTTCATCAACACACACCCTCTGCTTCTGCTCCTCAGTCCGGACGTCGCTGCGGACATTGGCCCACGGGATGTCTTCGGGCCACCAGACGGGCTTGCAGCTCTCCTTCCCCCAGCCCGGCTTGCCGCGGCCCGTCGAGTATTTCAGCATTTCGGGGATGAAGGCCCGCAGCTGTGCCTGTGGCATTAAAAAATCAAATCAATCAAAAATCAATCAATCAGCATTCAGAAATCAATGTACCAGGATTTAAGAACATATTTATGTATGTGACAATGGTGGCAAGAATCTTAATTGCACAAGGATGGAAGAACGAAGAAATCCCGACAAAGGAACTGTGGCAAGGGAAATTGATGGACTATGTGGAACTGGCAAAATTGACGCACAAACTACACGATAAGGACAACTGGACTTTAAAGAAGAATGGGAACCTTTTACAAAGTACTTAACGAAACAACAAAATGAACTGGACTCCTTGGCAGGTTTTTAAAAAACAAACACAAATTTATTATTAGTAACATATAGACAGGTAATTTAAGGATCTTTACAATTTTATAATATGCAGAGAATAACAGGTGTTGAAAAACCAGAGAGAGGAGCTGAGGGAAGTCCAGGTGGGGGTGGGAGGGTGGGTTTCTCTTGGGGAGGGAAAATTGGGGGGGGGGTGGAGAGAAGATGATATGTTTTTGATAAATTGTTATGTTGAAATTCTTAATAAAAAATATTCAAAAGAAAAAAGAAAAAAGGAGCAGCTTGGGACATTGCATACACAAAATTCTAAAGGAATGGCTGGGTTCAGTCCACATGAGAACAGATCGTGTTGAGCAGGGGCAGTTTCCCCCAGTTTCAACTTGGGTCAGGGGCACGCTGACCAATTATCATCACATGCCCTGAATATTTGACCTGTATCACCAGCTTTTGCTTTGAAAATTCAGAGCCAGAGTAATTCAGAGCCACAGCAGAGGCCTTCCAAGAGATTTGGGATTTCATAGCCTGGTCCTAAAAAGGAAGCACATTTTTTTCCTAGGTATGACTGCAATGATCCGGAAAGATTGCAATTTTCGATACTGACTAGGGATGGGCGATATATCGATATATCATCCAAAACAGATGTCAAGGAAATAAGGAACTAACCCACTTTTAAAAGACATCTGAAGGCAGCCCTGTTTAGGGAAGTTTTTAACCTTTAAAGCCCTATACGGCCTAGGAGCCTCGTACCTACGGGACTGCCTCTCCTGGTATGTCCCACGGAGGACCTTAAGGTCCTCAAATAAAAACATCTTGGAGGTCCCGGGCCACAGGGAGGTTAGGCTGGCCTCAACCAGAGCCAAGGCTTTTTCGACCGTGGCCCCGATCTGGTGGAACGCTCTGTCACAAGAGACTAGGGCCCTGCGGGACTTGACATCTTTCCGCAGGGCCTGCAAGACGGAGCTGTTCCAGCAGGCCTTTGGCTAAGATCTGACCTCTTTCTTTGGTAATCCTCACAGAACTCTAGCCCAATGGTTGCCATTAATTTGATTTTGAACTGATTTTATAATGAATTGATTTTAGAATGCTGCATTATTTTACTGTTGTTAGCTGCTCTGAGCCTGGCTTCAGCTGGGGAGGGCGGGATATAAATAAAATTTTATTTTTTATTATTTAATGTTTAATGCTGTACAGTGGTACCTCGGGTTACATATGCTTCAGGTTACATATGCTTCAGGTTACAGACTCCACTAACCCAGAAATAGTGCTTCAGGTTAAGAACTTTGCTTCAGGATGAGAACAGAAATCGTGCTCCAGCGGCGCAGCGGCAGCGGGAGGCCCCGTTGGCTAAAGTGGTGCTTCAGGTTAAGAACAGTTTCAGGTTAAGTATGGACCTCCGGAACAAATTAAATACTTAACCCAAGGTACCACTGTATTGTGTTTTTAATATTCAATTGAGAGCAGCCCAGAGTGGCTGGGGAAACCCAGTCAGATGGGCGGGGTATTATTATTATTATTATTCACTTTGGCTTCTATTATTTCCCCACCGTCTATTTTAGACTGCAAGCAGCATGCAGAGAGCAGGGACCTCTCCTTGGCGATTGTGTGAAGCAGCTGCAGTATGGCATTGGGATGGCTCTCCCTGACTTCCCTACTATAGTTATTAGATAAAGGATGGGCTGTTTTCAGTGAGGTCTCTCTGTATGTTCTATGAATGGGCGCAGCAGCTATGCAAATGGCGCTGCAGCACCATCTAGCAATTACGTATAAATATCCCAGGGATGAGACCGCAGCATATCTAAGCAACCGAAAGTGAACAGGATGGATGAGGGAGCATCCATCTGAAAGGAGACGCGCTTACACAAGGTTGTGCCATGTAAACACCACCAGGCTTTATTAAGACTGTGGGCAAAAAAACCCCCCCAAAACAACAACAACAAAACACAGATTCAAATTATGCCAACCACTAAAATGTATGCAAACATGCTGGGTTTGAATGAACTTGCTTCATTTGCATGCTTCATTTTGAAGGTGATGCCTCGGTTTTGCAAACTTTTTGTCCTGTCCCCCCAAAAAGGCAAAAGCCACCACAAAGAAAACTAGAGGAAGGACCCAGTACAAGGAAGAAGGACAAGCTAGATGCAGCGAGCAGATCGGGACCACAGCTCAAGAATATAACAGCTTCGCCACGGGGTCCAAGAACAGCAGCATGCGGCTTTGCAATAACTGCTTCTCGTTTCCAGATGGATTAATTAGCGGTCCTCGGGAGCCGAGAGTTTCGAGCCACTTGCAAGCGCTTGTTAAGGGCTCTGGAGCCACCGGGGAGACAATCAACGGGGAGCCCTGCATCTCGGCCTGCTCAGGCACGAGGACCTCTCTAATTGCCACCATAACAAGAGCGGAGATCATCACCTCACCATAGAATCCTGGAGCTGGAAGGGACCGTGCAATGCAGGAATCTATTGTCCCATGTGGGGCTTGAACCCATGACCCAACAGGCCCTTTTGCTTCCAAAAGCCTTATGGGGATGGGCCAATGCTTGTCAGCCAAGGGCAGCGCTGAAGGCCCTATTATTATTATTATTATTATTATTATTATTATTATTATTATTATTACCCCGCCCATCTGGCTGGGTTTCCCCAGCCACTCTTGAGTGGCTCCCAATTGAGTGTTAAAAACAGTACAGCATTAAATATTAAAAACTTCCCTAAACAGGGAAACAAGGTCACCTCAAGCCTCAATTTAAATTTCGGCATTGCCCTGTGCAACATCCTATCGCTGAAGATGCCAAGAACTGAACTGGGTGCTTCCGACTTAGAAGTCACAAGCTCTGCCAAAGTGCTCTAGAAAGCAAGCCTTCTGAGGAATGGTTAATAATAATAATAATAATAATAATTTATATCCCGCCCTCCCCAGCCAAAACTGGGCTCAGAGCGGCTAACAACAATAAAAGTAACGCAGCATTCTAAAATCAATTCATTCTAAAATCAGTTCAAAATCAAATTAATGGCAACCACTGGGCTAGAGTTCTGTGAGGATGACCAAAGGAGGGGGTCACAGGCTGTGCCTTGGCCAAAGGCCTGGTGGAACAGCTCTGTCTTGCAGGCCCTGCAGAAAGATGTCAAGTCCCGCAGGGCCCTGGTCTCTTGTAAGAGAGCGTTCCACCAAGTCGGGGCCACGGCCGAAAAAGCCTTGGCTCTGGTTGAGGCCAGCCTAACCTCCCTGTGGCCCGGGACCTCCAAGATGTTTTTGTTTGAGGACCGTAAGGTCCTCTGTGGGACATACCAGGAGAGGCGGTCCCGTAAATACAAGGGTCCTAGTCCATATAGGGCTTTAAAGGTTAAAAACGTCCCTAAACAGGGCTGCCTTCAGATGTCTTTTAAAAGTAGGATAGTTGCTTATTTCCTTGACATCTGATGGGAGGGTGTTCCACAGGGTGGGTGCCACTACCAAGAAGACCCTCTGCCTGAATACTGGATGCGGCCAAATGTTTTTGTTTGAGGACCGTAAGGTCCTCTGTGGGACATACCAGGAGAGGCGGTCCTGTAGGTATGAGGGTCCTAGGCCGTATAGGGCTTTAAAGGTTAAAACCAGCACCTTGAACCTGACCCTGTACTCCACCAGGAGCCAGTGCAGCTGGAATAGCACCGGGTGAATGTGCTCCTGTGGAGAGGACCGCGTAAGGTTGAGGCAGTCGGTTATGATTAACCTGGAGAAGAGAACGCTAAGAGGTGACATGACAGCCATCTTCAAATATCTGAAGATGGAGCAAGCCTGTTTCCTGCTGCTCCCGGGGGGAGGAACCGAACCAATGGATTCAAATGACAATAAAGGAGATTACGACTAAACATTGGGAAGAACTTTCTTATGGTAAGAGCTGTACAACAGTGGAACAGGCAATCGCAGAAGGTGGTGGATTCTCCTTCACTGGTGATTTTTAAACAGAGGTTGGGAGAGGCATGTCTGGGATTCTTTAGTGATTTCTGCACTGCACGGAGTTGAACCAGATAATCCTTAGGTTCCCTTCCAATTCTTTGATTCTGTGATCCTTCACGGGCGTTCTGAGCAAGCCATGTGTCCGATGAGCTGCTCAAAGGAGGAGCACGGCAAACAGGTGCTCCCAGGCAGGTGGGCTGACAAAAATATTGCCTCTGGCTCTGGTTATTCTCCCACACTTTGTAGAAAAGGCAGCATCAATGGGAACACTTTATCTCGTACCGTTTAGCAGAGTCGCTGCAGTATCCCCCAGGAGGGAAAGAATTAAGTGTGTCTCGGAGGAGTTGTGTATGTGCAACAGAGAAGGCGAGATTTTGAGACTAGAGATTCTTCGCTGGAAAAATCAATAGGCCGGAGACAACCAAAGCTCCCCTGAATGGCTTTTTCCACCTTTTCTACTTGCCTACCTGGGTCATCTTGTCCACAGAGACCGGAATCCCGTCGATGGTGAGCGGCGGCAGCTCGGAGTTAACCTCTTGCGGCGCAGGTGCGTGTTCCAACAGAGCGGACTCCAGGTCTTCCAGGATCATGCTCTTGTACTTGCGCACCTGTGGGGAATCGGAAGGGCTCGGGTAAACAAGGCGAAGAGCAACAGGAGAGAAGACGGTGCTAAGTAACGGGGAAGGGGGGGTGCGGCCCCCTTCCTCGTGGCACTGCGCAGCAGAGCAAACAACGCCCCAGCTGCCAGGTGAAAATACCCACTGGCCCCAAAGCCCGCAGACCAGGAGGGCATTCGAGGGAGGTGATGATGAAACTCGGAGCAACACCAACGAGAGGAGCAGTGCGAGGATTTCCAGAGAGGTCTGGGGGAAGGGCAGGGCTGTCCCAAACAGCTGCTTGCATGTCTATTCGGGATCCCTTTTGAACCAGCCCTTGCTGGAGGTCTACATCTCTTGAGAGTGAAGACCAGCAGATCATTCTCAGGCATCTTTGGGATCAACCCACAATTCATTCACTTCTTTAGTTCATCTTTTATCTTGCCGATGGTCCTTCTTCCCCTCTAAATAGGACTCTAGGGGCTGAGTCAGGAACGACGCAGACCAGTGGTTCCCAATTTTTTGGCCCAACGCCCCCCTTGGTTCCATAAACTCGCCCCCGGCACCCCCTTCCCTCTCCTATAAAAAGGAATTACAGTGGTACCTCGGGTTAAGTACTTAGTTCGTTCCGGAGGTCCGTTCTTAACCTGAATCTGTTCTTAACCTGAAGCACCACTTTAGCTAATGGGGCCTCCTGCTGCTGCTGCGCTGCTGGAGCACAATTTCTGTTCTCATCCTGAAGCAAAGTTCTTAACCCGAGTTAATATGTCTGGGTTAGCAGAGTCTGTAACCTGAAGCGTCTGTAACCCGAGGTACCACTGTATTCAGAATAACGGTCTACATGGCCCACTTAGGAACATAATAGCACAATAAAAAATTTTTGAAACCCTATTAATTGTGCTTTTATTCAAAACCCAATTAAAACTATTTTGGTTTAATTAATTCAACAAAACTGAATTATCTCATTTAGTAAGTACTTCACTGCTGGGTAAGTTCCAAATGTGATGGAGGGGTCTGATGAAGTGATACCAGTTTCCCAACGTCTTGTTTTGCTGCAAAGAATTTAGCAATTTCCAAAGATGGATTAGATACCAGCAGAAACGGACGTTGGTAACTGCCTGTTGGTTATGCCAAAGTCTGCTTCCATCTTCTTCCATCTTATGACTAGCTCTGCCTTTTTGTGACCGGTGGGCCTTGGTAATTTTCAGCTGTCTCCAGTGGGCCGGGGGGCACCTTACACGCAAACTGACATGAGTTGCAGTTCCCAGGAGAGGTCTTGGACTCTCCTTCCTTGGAGGTTTCTAACAGAAGTTGGGTGGCCCTCTGTCATGGATGCTTTAGCTGAGATTCCTGCAATGCAGCAGGGGGTTGGACTAGATGACCCTCGGGGTCCCTTCCAACTCTACAGTTCTGTGAGCCACCATAATCCAACAAAAAAGAACCACTGGGGTGTGTGTGGGAATACTAATTCCTCATTCAAAGCTAAACAACGGTATTACCACTAATCTCCTCACATTTTAAGTAACATAATTAAGCAGAAATTAAGCATCTCAGAACGATGTACAGTGGAACCTCGGGTTGTGAACGTGATCCGTTCGCAACCCGCAGCATTCGTAACCCACAGTGCCGCACCTGCGCACGGTGCAATCTGGAGCTTCTGTGCATGCGCAAAGTGCGATTTATCGCTTTTGTGCATGCGCCGAAAGCCAGAAGTAACCCGTTCCAGTACTTCTGGGTTCAGCACGTCCGTAACCTGAAAACGCGCAACCCGCAGAGTTCGCAACCCGAGGTATGACTGTACGTAAGTAAAATAAGTAAGAACCCCAGGAGCAAATCATGCGTGGGACTTCGAAGCCTTACCACGTTCTCTAGCGGTGCTGCACCAAACACTTTAAAAACAGGGTTGGGTTTGGAGGGCGAGATGCAGAGGACGATGGCCTGTTGTCCGACGCGGGTGGTGTATTCGTCCAGCGTGGCACGGAGCTTCCTGTTTCAGTGGGCCAAAAAGAAAAGAAGTTTATTTCCCCTTAAAGACATTTCACTATACATAAGAACATAGGAAGAGCATCATAGCCAGACACTGGAGAGACCTGTCAGGAGTAAGCATGGACCAGTGGTACCAAATAGTATGGGAAACAGCCCTACTAGAAAAATTAACCAATAAACTGAAACTGACACGGGGACAAACAGAAGAAGACGCCTATGGCTCCCCTTTATCACATACACAGCCCAACAAGACAATGACAATAATCCACCAACAGCATACAAATCAGTATGGCTAACCTGATCCAAAACACCCACCCACCCCACTCACACATGAAAACAAAGACCACCACAGCCAACCACAAATGAACAGCCACACCCTAGGCCAACCCCAACCTCTCTCACCACCAAAGGAACACAAGTGAACAGCAGAGAACCTGCACGAGCAACGCTGACACCAAACCCCACATATATTAAGTAAAATAGAAACATCACCACCCACCTCTTCCCCCCTTTTCTTCCTAATGTCTCAACAAATGAAACCGATTTGTAAAAATGTTACATGGGGGGGGGAATAATATGAGAGAGAGACATTGCAAACACTTTTGTAAATCAAGAAAACCTTTAATTAATAAATAAATAAGAACATAGGAAGGGCCTGCAGCTGGACCAGGCCAATGTCCCATCTAGTCCAGCATCCTGTTCTGAGAGTGGCCAGCCAGATGCCAGGGGGGAAACCCAAGAAAAGAAGCCTCTCTCCTCTTGTGGTTTCCAGCAAATTCAGAAGCATTGGTGCGGAGGCAGAGAAGAGCCATTCTGGCTAGGAGCCATCGATAGCCCTCTCCTCCTCCAGGAATTTGTCTAATCCTATCTTAAAAACAAGGCTGTATATTGTCTCCCTGCTTATTTAACTTATATGCAGAATCCATCATGCGAAAGGCTGGGCTGGATGAATCCCTAGCCGGAATTAAGACTGCTGGAAGAAAAGTTGATGGACTATATGGAACTGGCGGAAATGACTGGCAGAATCCGAGACCAGGGAGAAGAGTCGGTGGAAGAAGACTGGAAAAAGTTTAAAGACTATTTACAGAAACATTGTAAAATTAATGAATGCTAGAAGAATGTTGGAATGAAGTGATATGGCTTTAGTAGAAATGTTATAAGGAATTAAGTATAAATAGATTAATAGAGTATTAAATGAAAAATAAGGTTAAAATATGTTAAGATAATTATAGGATAGAAAACAGGGGAAGATGGAAAGGAATTGCTGAAATAATTAATTGAAGTGGAATACAAAAAGGGAGGTGTGAGGAGGTCGTGGAAATATGTGAAAGAAAGATAAGATATTGATTTTTTTTCCTTTTTTTGATGTGTTTTTAAATTGTTTTTGTTTTGTCTTGTTAGTTTGATGTTTTGGTGTGTGGTGTTTTTGTATTGTAATGTATTGTTTTTTCTTTTCTTTTTTTGTAGTGTTTAAATTGTTGTAAAAGTAATAAATATTATAAAAAAAAGACTGCTGGAAGAAATATCAACAACCTCAGATATGCAGATGACACAACCTTGATGGGAGAAAGTGAGGAGGAATTAAAGAACCTTTTATTGAGGGTGAAAGAGGAGAGCACAAAATATGGTCTGAAGCTGAACATCAAAAAAAACACGAAGATCATGGCCACTGGGCCCATCACCTCCTGGCAAATAGAAGTGGAAGAAATGGAGGCAGTGAGAGATTTTACTTTCTTGGGCTCCATGATCACTGCAGACGGTGACAGCAGTCACAAAATTAAAAGACGCCTGCTTCTTGGGAGAAAAGCAATGACAAACATAGACAGCATCTTAAAAAGCAGAGACATCACCTTGCCAACAAAGGTCCATACAGTTAAAGCTTTGGTTTTCCCAGTAGTGATGTATGGAAGTGAGAGCTGGACCATAAAGAAGGCTGATCGCTGAAGAATGGATGCTTTTGAATTCTGGTGCTGGAGGAGACTCTTGAGAGTCCCATGGACTGCAAGAAGATCCAACCTCTCCATTCTGAAGAAAATCAGCCCTGAGTGCTCACTGGAAGGACAGATCGTGAAGCTGAGGCTCCAATACTTTGGCCACCTCATGAGAAGAGAAGACTCCCTGGAAAAGACCCTGATGTTGGGAAAGATGGAGGGCACAAGGAGAAGGGGATGACAGAGGACAAGATGGTGGGACAGTGTTCTCGAAGCTACTAACATGAGTTTGACCAAACTGCGGGAGGCAGTGGAAGACAGGAGTCAATGTGGGAGCTCCCCTTAACAGCTAAGCTGACTCATTTTGTCAGAACTAGAGATAAGGGACAACAAGCCGGACAAGTTTATGGCAAATTGGTCAGCTTCTGTTGAATATGGTGCGAAGAACTTGCTCTTTCTTGGAGTGGAGGGGAGCAACACCAATATGGGTTTACGAGGTTTTGAAAGGCAGCAACGAATAATGTAATTTATCTTACAAATTAAATGAAGGTTTTGCTTCAGTGGCAGGATTTGTGACCTATTTGGTTGCATGCAAATAGGTTGGGTCGCATCCAGCTAAATTCTCTTCGGGGTAGACCAATCCGTGTCAATGAACCTAAGTTAGCCAGGTCTGTCCATTCAGAATCGGTCCACTCTGAATAGGTCTAGCACAACCCAGTGATGGGAGTGGGTTTTTATGTATCATATTTTTCTGTAGATGAACATGATTAATGATGATGATGATGATGATGATGATAATACTATCATCATCTGTATTGGTATCAGGCAGGCACTTTCACTGTACTCTTTCCAGCCCTGGCTAAAAAACATTTTTCTTTAGACAAGCCTACCCAGATATATAGAATACTGATGTGTTTTCGTTTATTGCTGTTTTAAATTTTTTGAATGTTTTGTTTTTACTATTCATCTTATTGTTCAATTCTTTTTGCAAAGCACTTTGAGGTTTCTGTTTGTTTTTATCTATGTAAACTTCACGAACCGAGCAAAAAAAATACCCAGTGACCACACTTACAGGATAACCTTGGGTTGGTCACTGTGTTTCAGGTTAAACTACCTTATACATAGGGTTGTTTTGAGGATAAAATGGCCAGGGCACAAGAGGACGGGAAACCTGCTTCAAATTCCCCGGGGGAAACACGTCTCCCTGCTCAAAAGAATGATTAAAAGGAGATACGAGGAAATAAAACTGCAAAGGCTTATTTATAGAGCCAGGATGGCCATCATGCAAAAAGCACCCCTCTCTGTACAAACAAGGAGCTCTCAGGTACGCCCAGGTGTTTCCCTGTGAGAAGAGATTTAGGGCAGCACAGGGGCTAGGAGAGCCACAAGGTGCCGAGTTCAAGTCTTGGCTCTGCATGAACTCACACAGCGGTCTCAGTCAATCTCCTATCTCACGGCCTCAGTCTCTACCTCCAAAATATGGGGAGTAATAGACTAGCTCGGCTTATCTCTCAAGTCTGCTGCACAAATTAAAGATACAGTAAAGGGCAAAGGGGTGGCCATTAGGTCCAGTCGTGGCCGACTCTGGTGTTGTGGCGCTCATCTCGCTTTACTGGCCGAGAGATTCGGTGTACAGCTTCCGGGTCGTGTGGCCAGCATGACTAAGCCGCTTCTGGCGAACCAGAGCAGCACACGGAAACACTGTTTACCTTCCCGCTGGAGCGGTACCTATTTATCTACTTGCACTGGTGTGCTTTTGAACTGCTAGGTTGGCAGGAGCAGGGACAGAGCAACGGGAGCTCACCCCGTCACGGGGATTCGAACCACCGACCTTCTGATTGGCAAGTCCTAGGCTCTGTGGTTTAACCCACAGCGCCACCCACATAGAGTAGTGTGTATTAAAAAAACTGTGAGGGAATAGCCTGCAGTGGGACACAGGAAGATGCCTAATGCAGAGTCATACTATTGGTCCATCTACCTCGGTACCATCTACACTGACTGGCATAAGTTTCTCCAGAATTTCAGACAGGAGCCTTTTGCTAGATCCAGCACTGAGGGCCTTCTGGTGGTTCCCTCACTGAGAGAAGTGAAGCTACAGGGTCTTAAGGTCCATGAATAACCATGGTTTAGAGGTCCCGGGCCCTAAGGAAGTCAGACTATCCTCCACCAGGGCCAGGGCCTTTTCAGTGATGGCTCCGACCTGGTGGAATGCTCTGTCCTGATTTAACTTCCTTCCGCAGGGCCTGTAACACAGAGCTATTCCGCTTAGCTTTCAATTTGAACTTAGCCTGATCTTTTATTCCCCTTCCTTCCCTCCCCCTCCCCTTTTTATGAAGATTACCCACTCTGGGATCCCACAGCTACCGTAAATTGCGCTCTATAACACGCAGATTTTTTCTCCTAAAAAGTAAGGTGAAATGTCTGTGCGTGTTATTGAGCGAATGTGTGGTCCCTGGAGCTGACTCTCCGGAGCGAATGGGCAAAATAGGCAAAAATAAGGCAAAAATAAGATCGGGCGGCGGGCGGGCGGAGGGAAGGCGGAAGCTGTTGCTTTCCTGCATTCTGCCTCAGGGTCTTACTGCCCACCCGCTTCTGTTGCTGCGTTTGCTCAAACTCAACAAAGAGCAGGGAATCCCCTGCCCTCCTGGCAAGCAGAGGGTTAAGGAAATGATCGAGTCCTTCCGTGCAGGCTCCAGCCCACCACCTCCTCCTCTCCGTGCTCTAGGGACTCGCAGGTAGCCGAAAAACACGCAAGTGGGAGAGAGAGAGAGAGAGAGAGAGAGAGAGAGAGGGCTGGCTTGGGTTTGGTGGAGGGGACTTTTGCTTTACAATGGTAGGTTTCTCATTTCTTTTCCAAAAGCAGAGAGCCCTGCCCCAGGCCCCCTCCAAATTACAGCTTCTCCAAGCAATGTACTGCTGGAGGGAGACAGTATGCTTGTTTGGAAGAGAAACCCTGCTTCCCTGCTCGTAAGTAACAGCAGGCTGGATTGCAGAGTGAGACATGGAAATCTCTGGATTTATATGCTGTATATCAAATATCTTAATCTATACTTTCTAACGCGGCAGGTAA